ACTACGTCACCTAGGCAGGCCCTGAACTGATATTTCCTGCCTCAAGCCTCCCAAGGGCCAAGGCTGCGGGCATGCACCACCACATTGCAAGGCTGGAACCCAGGGCCTTGCGCATGCTTGGCAAGCGCTGTCTGTGATGCCCGGCCACACCCCGGCTGGGCTGAGTACAATGACCTGTGTTCAACTGTGCTGAAGGAGGAAATGAGTGTTTCTGGGTGGCATGTAGTGACAAGTTGGCTGGTGGACAGTTCTGCTTTCTGGGCAATGTCAGCCATCTGTGCCATGGTGGAGACCCAGGCAGGAGCCCCTAGGTGGCTCCTGTCCAGGCACAGTTGTCCCGGAAGGCACAACTGGACTCTGTAGGCAGAGAGGAAAAGTTAGCCATCCATGACCCAGAAGTGTTTTTAAAAAGATGGAAGGCATTCAATGCAGTGCCCGTCGTGAAGATTTGAGGGAGCCTGTGACGTCACCAGGCCACCCCTTCTGTCTTTATGATGACTCTATTTAGAAAGAGACAAATGGCTTGCTCTATGGAAGCAGGAACATCAGTGTTCCGTTTATGGGTTTATTTTAATTCATGTGTATGTGTATCTGAATATGCTATATGTAAAGGGGCACCTGGAAGGGTATACTGCGCTGGTTTGGTTGGCAGCGGAAGAGTCGTGAGCCATGGTTACTAGAGTTAGAATGGCCTTTATTAGAGAGAAGAGGGGATAGGACAGGAGAAGCCAGGCCTGGCAGAGAGGACACAGAAAGAGAGAGGCGCAGAGAGAGAGACAGAGACCAAGAGAGCACGTGGGGTGGGGGCACATCCGGCTTTTAGGCTGGGACGCAGTTGCCCGCTGATGACGTAATAAGGCGCCAGATGAGACCCCAGCAGCGAATATACAGAATCCTTACAGTACCCACAGAGGAAGTCAGATCCCCCGATGCTGGAGTTACAGGAGGTGGTGAGACACTGGGTAGGGGTGCTGGGAACTGCACTCGGGTCCTCGGGAAGGGCAGCAAGTGCTGTTCACTGCTGGCCATCTCTCAGCCCCTGTGCTACATTTTAATACATGCTATCTAGAATGGTTAAGCTGATATAGTCATAAAATTACTCAGTGGATGGAGAGATCCCCATTTAGTTGTATATTCTTCTTTCTCACCGAGATGAAGCATCTTTTTTATTTCATCTGTGAATTCTTCATTCTAAAGAACTTTCTTCTTATTGTTCTGTAAATACTCTTTATATATTTGAGATAGTGAACAGCCTTTATTTACTTTCTCTGCTTCCTGCCCCACTTTGTGCCGATGGCCTCTTATAAGAAGCTCTTGGGTTTTCTAAGCAGATTTATTGACCTTTTCTTATGCCTTTATTAGGTATGAGAGGCATTTCCCCGGTGTTCTAACCCCTCCCCCCCCCCAGCTTTCCCACGCAGCCTGCCTGTTGGGGCCTGTTGTGTGACAACAGGAGCTGGTGGCACTGTGGGCCTTCCTGTTTTTAAAGGCAGCTCCCTTCCTCCTGTGGGTCACAGGACAAACTGGAAAACCTTCCAAGTGCCCTCTCCCTCCAGGCAGCGGCGGTGACAGCTAAAGAAGGTGAAACAAGTTTGAGGGGACCGCAAAACCAGTCAGACAAGAAAGGTGGTTTGTGGGCAGGCTGCGCTCGCCCGCCCGCCCGTTCTGGGGGAGCGGTTAGGCCCATGGGCTGTGGGAACAGGTAACTGGGTGGGGCCAGCATGGGCTTAACTATTAGAAAGGCCACGGTGAGCGTGCGGATTCAAACCATGCTCTGGGGTCCCTGCCCCAGTACTGAGTTCACACCAGCAGAGAAGTTCTAGAGAGCTAACGTGGGTCACTTTGGCCCTGTTACCCACCTGGGTGAGTCGTTCAGCTTCTCTACGGTGCCCCCCACCCCCTGTAAGCCATGAGAAGCAGACCCCAGCCCACCTTGGAGTTCTCTCTGGGCTGCAGGAAGTGAAGGGTTCACACTCAAAGAGTTCTTATGTCACTTGTCAAAGCCATTTCAGAGTCACAGTTCACACCCAGAGCCAGCTGGCTCCAAAGTGACAGGCAGCTTCCCCTCTAACCACAGAGACTCAGCTTCTAGGTGCCACTGGCCTGTTTGGCCTACAGCATGGGGCACACCGCCCCAGGCCTTTCCTGCCCATCCACCTGGGGTCACCCTGACCCCACACTCTCATCTTTTACTTTCTGGGGTAGGGTCTCACTCTGTAGCCCAAGCTGGCCTAGAACTCATGACCCTCCTTCCTCAGTCTCCAGCATGCTGGGGTGACAGGCCAGGCCCACTCTCTTTCTTCAAGTCCCTCATGGACTTCGATCCCTGCCTCCATCCACCGCACCCTTCCCCCACAGCAGAATGGGCGCCCTGACCCGGGCAGCAGCCGTCAGCCACACACACAATGACGGCTGCTGTGGGGACAGGGCCCGCTGACCACAGCGGCTTTGTGACCCTCATCGAGCACTGTCAGGAGAATGGCAAACAATAAGCCTTTCTCCTGCCTGCCACCAGGGCGGGTGCTCAGCGCCACACCATGGCTGTGCCCTACATTAGCCTATGGCTGCCCACGCTCTGCTGTCCAGCCCAGCTTCCCGGCATCTCCTGTGGTTGATGATCACTCAACACCTGCCATGTTCTCAACCCGTATCTCCCCTCACAGCAGCCCTGCCCCGCGTGGGAGTCCTAGTCTCCCTTTGCAGGAAGAAAAACTGAAGCCCGAGTTCCTTCACAGACCCTCTGCCATCTTGGGTGGGTGGGTGCTTAAAACGTATACTTGGGGGGAGGGGGCGGGGTCATCCAAACTATGCTAGAGTATAGACAAAGGGGAAGCGGGGGATTGGAAAAGTGAGGCTGAATCTGGATGCCTCTGGTACCCACGGGGCCAAAACTACACCTGGGCTGTCTGTATTGGGGTGGGGAGGGGTGAAGACAAGAGAATCGCTGGAGCTTGATGCCTGTCCAGTAAGTGAGCGCTGGGTTCAGTGAGAGGCAAGGAGAGCGATTAGGAAAGAGGCCACTGCTGGCCTCTGGCCCTCACATGCACACGCGCAGAAGTGTGGGAGAGGGGCCTTCCAGGGAAAGCACCACGGAGATGGGCTAGGTACTACCAGGAGCCTGCGGGGACTCTGAGAAGTAGGGCTGACAGCCCACAGGTACCAGGACAGCGACTTAGGCTCCATGCGGGACTTCAGTGGGCCAGTGTGGTGGGACACACCCATCGTCCCAGCGTTTGGAGGCTGAGGCAGGAGGACCATGGGCTACACAACGCAATCTCTCCAAAAGAGAAAAAGCGAACCGTGGGGTGTATGGTGGGGTTTGCACTCTGCAGAGGTTCAGAGAGATTTGCTAGGCTGTGAAACCTGACCCTAGAGCTAGGAAGTCACAGGCCGATCCACACCCCTTTCCCAGTGTTCGCCCCACACTGGGCACCCTGCTAAGTAGGTGTGAAGTATTTTTCCTTTAAACTGATTCTTGCCTTTATTTGTATGTGTGAGCAGACATGTGTGAGCCATGGCACCTGAGTGGGGGGTCAAAGGACAACTTGTGGAAATCTGTTCTCTGCTTCTACCATGTGGGTCCCAGGGATTGAACTCCGGTTACCAGGCTTGGCACTGAGGTCACCACTGAGCCGTCCCTCTGGCCCTTGATTCAGGTTTTTGGTGATGAGGGTCACACCCAGGACCTCACGTGTGCTAGGCAGAGGCTAGCCTCCACTGCGCTGAGCTGCATCCCCAGCCCAGATGCAGCACTGTTTCTTGGTTTCTTTCCAGAGACTCTGCTTTGCAGCCCAGGCTGACCTCAAACTCTGTGTCCCTGCCTCTGCCTCCTGAGTGTGGGGATTACAGGTGCATGGCACGGGCCTGGTTGGTGCATCTCAAATCCTAATTTCTGACCCCTGTGCCAACCCTCCTAAGTGCTCAGCACCCCAGCTGACAATGGGGGAAACAGATGTGTAGTCTGGGAGACTTGCCCCAGGGAGGAATGTCGGGCCATCTGGTTCCTCATCCCACTGTGTCTGGGGTGTGTCTCTCAGGTGCTTCCAGCTCACACCTCTTCATGTGGGCAGCCACACGTGCTGGTCGCCTTCACTGGAATTTGACCTGTAGAAGTTCTGCTGCTGTCATTCAGGAAGCCCTTAAGCCCCTGTCTGCCTCCAGGGCAGCGGTATCTCCCTTCTGTGGGTTTAGCGCCTGCCCTGTGCCCTTGACTCAGACTTGGCAAGCCCACTTCTCAGCAGGAAGAGGGTGAGTGACAGGGGAGCATGGCAGCTTTGCTCAGGCTCCGAGAGTGAGGCCAGTGCTGGAGTGTGACCCCCAAGGCCTGCACCCTTCCTCTCTGAGCAGCTCTGGCTGCTATGGTATTCTGGCTGCTGTGATGGCCTGCCAGAGGGGCAGAGCGAAGGGGGCGGGGCAGAAGCACAATTCTCGTCCCCTGTGGAGCCTGGCATTCCTTCCAAGCAGCATGGCCAGGCGGCTCAAAGGTGTCACTGCTTGTTCTGCGCCCCATTGTCCTGGGACCTGCCAAGAAAGGTTCCCACCTCCACGTGGAAACACGGTAGCTCCGGGGAGGGCAGAATGTGTGTCCTGTTCACAAGATGGGAAACTTGAAGCTCAGATGAAGGGCAGTGCCCGAGCCTACCCTGCCAGGGTGAGTGGGGCACAAGTCAAGTCCAAGGTCACGTGGTTAGCCGCTGGACACTGCAGACGGGACACTTGGATCGGGCGGGCGCGCCAGTGCCGTGCTGTGCTGCGTGCTGTGCTGCAGAGAGCAACTCCAGCAGCCTCAGAGGCCCCGCCCAGTTCTGGGGTGACAGTCCACTCCCATCCAGAGCCCAGCACTCCCTGAATTCACTTGGCCGTGGGGCCGGCCTTCTGAAAACTCATAAATGATCCTTCCTGAGCCCTAAACACCCAGGTGACAGTCTTCCATGGCCTGTGGTGGTTCTGAATGCCATCTTGGTTGGGAGTCTAAATCTCTCTTCTCATTCTGTCCCCAGATTGCCTTGGGTCCCCAGTGTTCACACCCATCAAGGCAGACATCAGTGGGAACATCACGGTAAGTTCCCCGGCAGGCGTCTGGACCTGCCCCAGCCCCGTTCCCAGCCTGAGGTCAGGGAAGAGGGCAGAGATCCGTGGAGTCCCAGCCCCTCCCCCGCAGGGCCCCCTTGCAAGCACCCAGTCCGGGATTGGCCTGACACTCTGCCACCCCCTCCGCCAAACAAGGACTCCAGAGATGGGGAAATGGTTCCGTGTTACAAACCTGCATGCCTGAGTTAGGACCCTCAAACCCACAGAAAAGCATTACCGGGCAGCATAAGAATAACCCCAGTGCTGGAGGAGTGGAGAGAGGTGGGTCCCTGATGGTCACTGGCCAGCCAGTGAGAGGCCGTGTCTTTAAATAAATAAACAAATAAAGGTGGAGGGCTAGCAGGATGGCTCAGTGGTCAAGGGTGCTTGCTGCTCTTTCAGAGGCCTGGAGTTTGGTTCCAGCACCACACTGGGCAACTCTCAAGTTCCTGTAACTCCATTTCCAGAGATCTAATGTCCTCTTTTGGCCTCCGTTGGCATACACACACACACACACACACACACACACACACACACACACACACACACACACCCCTCCAGTTAAGCATCCTCATGCAGGTAATCCTGTAATCCCAGCACATAGGCTGAGGCCTGAGGATCCATGCTAGCCTGGGCTGTCTAGTCAGGCCTCCCACCGCCAAGAAAAGAACAAAAAAAATCAAGTCCATGGTCAGCTTGACTCTTCCATGCAGAGAGGCACCCGGAGGGCAGCCCAGGGCTTGGGACCCGCTGCGTGGTCTCATTTCTCCAGCCCAGAGGATTTCGAGCCCAGTTCCCTAGTACTGTCTTCACAGAGATGAGGAGCTTGAAGCTCAGAGTGGTTGATGGTTCACTTAAGGTCACACAGCGGGAAAGTGACGGGTGGGATTCAGACTCAGCTGGAGTCTCGACAGACCCATCTGGCACCAGTTCAGGGGCTGTTTGGTCTGGATAGTTTTGAACCTTTTGCCTGCATCCATTCTTCTTCACTGTGGGACTTCAGGTCTCTGATGTCTGTGACAGCGTCAATGGCAGTGAGAAGACATGGCTTCCGGACATGGTCAGGCGAGGGCCTACTCCCTGTCCCAAACCTGTGGCCTTCGACACGTGCGTTACCCCTGGGCCTCAGCGTCCTAATCCGTTGATTGGGTTCTGAGTGCGGTGTCAGGGTCGCCAAAATGACCACGTGGGGCACTTGGAGCATTTCAGGGGCCCAGGCTCCTGGGTGGCACCAGTACCCGTGCGCAGGCGGGTGGCATAGGATGGGACACTCCGCTGAGTGTGCAGAAGCTGTCTGTGATGGGAAAACACCTGTGCTCTATTCCAGAAAATCAAAGCCGTGTACGACACCGACCCAGCCAAGTTCAGGACCCTGCAGAACATCCTGGAAGTGGAGAAGGGGATGTATGGAGCAGAGTGGCCCAAAGTGGGGGCCACGCTGGCACTGCTGTGGCTTAAAAGGTGATGGCCTCGGGGTGGGGCGTGGCTGGGCCATGTTGGGCTAGGGGTGCTAACACTGCCATTTAATAGCTACAAGAAACTTCCGAAGGCTGATAGATTCACGGTGGCACTTTCTGTTCTAGCCCCAGAGACGGCAGGGGAAGTACACTTTCCAGTCTTAGTCTTCTCCGTTCTTTATGCACCTGATAAGTCTCAGACGCTGTGAGTCAGGTGTGCCATCTCCCCATCCCCACGGAGGAGGCCACAGGGGCATCTGGAGGCCAGGTCACAATCCAGGCCTGAGCAGTGGTGGTGTACTGCACAGAGGTAGCCAAGTCGTGTGTGCACAGGTGGAGTTGTGTGTTACGACTCTTGACAGAAATACAGTAGATCTCCTGAGTGCACAGGTGTGTCCCTGCTTTGAATCTTGTCAATGGTCTAGCAGCTCCAGAATTCTCTAGCTGTGGCATTCCAGCAGCTGCTAAGAAGCCAGGGACCCTTGCCCTGCCTCCAGCGCTTCCCACTGTTGACATCTCAGGAGTCTGGGCCAGGACCTAGGAGAACAGCTTGTCCCCTGAAGCCCATCTCCCAGCCCCCACACATGCTTCTCTGGTGAACCAGACCTGGGGAAGTTGGCTTCCTGGAAGTGAGGCCGGGTGGTCATCAGGGTATGGTCGCTCTAAGAGCTGCCCCAGGTACAAGGCCTGACCTTGTCAGCAGGCCTTGAAGGCCAGGGCTGAGGAACATCCCCCAGTCCATTTCCTCAGCAGTAGCAAGGCAGGTGATGTCGCTCTTCATACCTAAGTCACCTGTGGGCCTGTGAGTGACCAGGAAGGTGGTGCTGGCTCTGGAGCCTAACACAGATGAAGTATGATGGGCACCTGTCATATGAAGAAGCTTCCAGCTAGGACAAGCTGAGATGGAGTCCTGTTCTCAGTGCCCTGCTCCAGAAGCCCTCACCTGGGCCACCCCCAACCCCCTGCAGGAAGGGAGCAGAGGCATTTGTTTGGGATCCAGTCGGGTTGTGTAAGGGGTAGAGAAGGCAGGAGGCCAGTGAGCGGCTGAAAGGGCACTTGGCTGTGGAGTGGCTGGTGTGCCCAGTTTGGCCCCATGTGTTTGAAGGGGTAGGATACGGGGCCCCATGTGCATTACACTTTTGTGGCCATGGCAGAATGAGCCAGATGGAGAAGGGTCCTTTTAGCCCACGGGCTCTGAGGGCTCAGCCCTTGGTCACCTTCACTGATTCTAGGCCCAGTGTGAGGCAAGACATCCTCCTAACAGCACAGTGCCGAAGAAGCTACTCATCTCTTGACTGACAGGAAAAAGGAAGTTGCTAGGGACTCACTTCCTCCAGCTAGACCCCACCTCCCACAGCAACACCTAAGCCTTCAGCATAGGAGCCTCTGGGAATTTTCCTGTTGTCTTGAACGCACTACAGGGCTGGCAGATTTGTGATATATTATGTACCCTACTAAATTTGCCTGAAAATCAGAGGACAGAAAAAGCCACTAGATTAAACACAGAGCCAGGCAGTGGTGGCACATACCTTTAATCCCAATACTTGGGAGTCACACGCCTTTAATCCCAGGAAGTGATGGCTGGGCAGAGAAAGGTATATAAGGGTGAGGAGACAGGAACTAGAGGCTTTTTCAGGCTGAGGAGTCCTAGAGATAAGACGTGGCTTGTTCCTTTGTCTCTCTGATCTTCAGGCAAAGTTTATTAGGGCACGCAATCTATCACCACAGCGACTGCTTTCTATTCAGGTTTCTCACTGTGCCCCGTGAAACATCTTAGGCAGGGGTCGCTGTACAGTAGAGGCAAACAGCCTGGGAGGCAGTGTGCCTGACTATCTCTGGCCTTTGAACCCTCTGGGGGTCACACTGGCTTCATCCTTTAGGCCACGAGAGGCCACAGAGACCCAGAAGAGGCTCTGCGTAAAGGCGCCCCGCACCAGAGCTGGGCTGTCACATTGCCCGGAAGTCACCTAGGGGAGGTACTCCCCTGTACATGCGCTGTTACGGGCTCTGGTCCTAAATGACTGTTCCCTTGGACCACAGGGGCCTGCGCTTCATCCAGGTGTTCCTGCAGAGCATCTGCGACGGGGAACGGGATGAGAACCACCCCAACCTCATCCGCGTAAATGCCAACAAGGCCTATGAGATGGCCCTCAAGAAGTACCATGGCTGGCTGGTGCAGAAGATCTTCAAGGTGAGCCCCCAGGGGACAAGAAGACTTGGGTTCCTTCCCACTTGTCCCAGGAAGGGCTCACCTGTGCTAGGAGATGGAGCGGGTGCACCGAGGCCCTCGTGCAACCACGCCAACCCTGTCTGTGCCCGCAGGTGCCCCTTAGTGTCCCCGCGGGTCCCTCAGCCTGTTGCTTCCATGGCTGTGAGAAGAGACAGGTCTGCAGACTCAAGCAAGAACCGCAGGGTGATGGTGGGCTGGCCTCACTGGCTCCCCTCTCACCCTGGGCTCTCACCCCAGGCACAAAGGGAAGAAGGGCCCTGCCCGCAAGGGGATAGCTGCTGTAAAGACCGGTCCTCAGTTTACCGTGGCCTATGCTGGGGTGATACTGACCACAGCTCCTGGAAAGGGCTCTCGTGCCAGCCTGGGTAGCTGAGAGGCCCTAGGTTCATCAAGCTGGGAGGCTTAAGGAATAGCAAAAGGCCTCCCAAGTGTTCCTGGCTACCCTGCCCCTCACGATGTCCTCGTCACACTACCTCTCCTTCCCCAGGAAGCCCAGGCTCTGACAGGAAGGGTCCCAAGGCAGGCTGGGTCCAGGCAAGAAGAACAGGTCACAAAGCAGGAAGTATGACCACCTCTGGGCCTTCTACCTGGGCATGGCTAGGGTCAGGGGTCATCTTGAGCGGCCACTCTCACACTCTCAGGAATGACAGTGTCGCATGTGCCACCCCAGCCGCCTGCAAGTGCACCAGTAGTGGGCGCTGTTTCCCACTCCGCCCTATGATGATCTCAAAGTCCCACTGTTCAGCCTGGGCCTGGCTGGCAGCTGCACCTCTTCCCAGGATGATCGTAGAGCACAGGAGTTCTGGGCTAGCCTGGGCAACATAGTCAGAACCCATCTCAGAAACAAAAGCGGGCACCTGGGAGCCCGACTCCCTGAGCCTCAGTGGCCTCATCTCTCACACCTCCAGATCTCTGCACAGTGTGCAGCACGTGGCTTAGGTTCAGGGCCCCAAAGCCACTACTGTCTTCATCATGTGTGACACCCCCCCCCCCCCACAAACCAGGGTCTGGATGTTTTATTTGGCGTTACTGTGTCTTTGTCCTCTAAGGCTATCAGGTTCTGTGAATTTCTGGTTCTCTGCCTTTTGAAGTATTGAAGCAGCCGCCAAATTTATCCAAGGACAGAAAGATGTGTGCCTGGTGCTGCACTGGGCATCTCTATGCCCCATGCCATGTGGAGTGATTCACACAACCTCCCTAGTCATTTTGTTGTGTGGTTTTGTGTTTATGAGACAGGGTCTCACTATATAGCCCTGGCTGACCTGGAATTCACTCTATAGACCAGGCTGGCCTCGAACTCACAGAGATCCGCCTGCCTCTTTCTCCCCAGTGCTGGGACTAAAAGTGTGTGCCACCTTGTCCAGCTATCCCCTCCCTAATCTTAACAGAAGCAACCAAATTGAGTGGATGCAGCTAAGGAACTTACTCGAGGCACAAGCTACAGTCTTCTGTCTGTCTGTCTGTCTGTCTGTACCCCAAGCTGGTGTCCTTTACAGGGGGAGGGAACATGCACTTTTCTTTTCTTTTCTCTTCCAACATAAGCAGAGAGACCCGCCCAGCACGAGTGTCAGGGATGCAGGCCCCCGGGTGCCCAGTGTGCCAGCCCCTGGGTGCCCGGTGTGCCAGCCCCTGGGTGCCCGGTGTGCCAGCCCCTGGGTGCCCAGTGTGCCAGCCCCTGGGTGCCCGGTGTGCCAGCCTGGTCTTGCCCTACTAATGCCGCACCTGTCTTCCCTCTCCCCTCTCAAGGCTGCACTGTACGCCGCGCCCTACAAGTCTGACTTCCTGAAGGCGCTCTCCAAGGGGCAGAACGTGACGGAGGAGGAGTGCCTGGAGAAGGTCCGCCTCTTCCTGGTCAACTACACGGCCACCATCGACGCCATCTATGACATGTACACCAAGATGAACGCGGAGCTTGACTACACGGTGTAGGCGTCCAGACACACAGCCCCGCGTGGGAGCAAGCAACCCCGAATCACTGTGAATCAAGCTGGGGTCCCCAGCTCAGCTGCCAGGCCAGCCCAGGTCTGCAGGGGCAGCCGCAGCTTGCTAGAGGTCATTTGCTTTTGTGTTTGTTTCTTGCCTATTCTAATGGAGCAATAAACACCTAACTCCTGCTTGCCCAGCAGCCCAGGTTGAGCACACCGTCCCTCCAGTGTGGTCAAAACCAATTAACGTGGCTAACGATCAATTCCCAGAGTTTTCTGTCTTTTCCTCCTCTGCCCAGCTCGGGGGAGACATACACCTCACCCAGCAAAGAAACCTGGTCCATCTGGCCCAAGGATGTCTTAGATGTTTGGAGGACAATGGCGTCTGATTGTAAGTCCAGCAGGGCCCCTGCTGTGGGTCTGTTTAAAAAAGCAAGCTGGCAGGAGCCCTCACATGGCTGCACATCCGCCATGCCAGCCAGCCCTGTTCTCTCTTTCTTGCACTCTGTCTTTTGTCAGACAGGTCTTTGTTTTTTTGTTTTTTGTTTTTTTGTTTTTTAAGCCGAAATGTACCAGCAAGCCTTTTCAAATGAGTGACTAGGCACACACAGGTGACCATACGAGACTGTATCCGCATTCTTCTGCATAATTATTGTCTTCAGGGATGGCTTCTCCAACCTAAGAAACTGCCTGTCATGGGAGCCCTCCAGCTGTGGAGACCCAAGAAACTGCCTTGCTGCCTTAACTGTCCTTCTGGCGCTAAAAAGAGCTATATTTTTTAAAGTATTGGGGTAAACAGACCCTGAAAGAATTGATGTGTGTTAAAGAAAACAAAACAAAACCCAATGAGGAACAATTGGTGATTTTTATGCAGAAATTAAATAATCCTTAATAAATAAATCTATATTTTGAAATCGTATCTGGGTGCTTCTGGGCTCTTGACTCTTTTATTATATTCTGTATCAGAGGTTACAATTGGGGAGTCTCACAGTCGTTAACTTGGCACACCTGGAAGAGGGACCCTCAACTGAGGAATCGCCTCCTTCTGATAGACCTGTGGTGCATTTTCTCGACTGCTAATTGCTCTGTGGTCTCTGCTTCAGTTCCCATCTCCAGGCTCTTGCCTTGACTTCCCTCTCTGATGGACTGTGACCTGTGAACCAAATAAATTCTTTATCCCCCAAGGTGCTTTTGGTCTGAGGTTCGGCCACAGCCACAGAAAGAAGACTAGAACAGGGACCCTAAAGCCAACCCTACAAGGACCTGTCTTCTGGCCTCTGATTTAAAAAAATACAACTGGTGGCCACATAAGAGACACTGAGAAGTTTCCCAGAAAAATCACGTATGTAACTCCTTTGGAAGCACCAGGAGCCAGACATGGGGGCATGTGCCTGTAATTCCAGCACCTCAGAGGCTGAGGTTGGAGGATTGTGATTCCAGGCAAGAGAGGAGGGGGAAGAGAGAATCATGGTTCTTAAAATGACCGTCCCTTGGCTAGAAAGGAGGGAAGGGTGCATTCTCCATTTGCCTTGGTTTCTGCCCAGCCCTCTGACCAAAGGCTGACCCTGTCTCTGATACTAGGGTTACATGGAGAGGGAAATGCTTTCCTTGACCTCTGCTCTCCAGACTGGACAGTCTTAGAGTACAAGGTGACTCAGTGCCCAGAGTGGGTCGGGCTGCAGGTGAGATGCCACACCCCGGGATGCACCTTGAATCAACTGGCAAGGAAGTCAGGGTGTGGGCAGGAAGGGGACACTCCAGGGCACAGACACGGTGGCGTGACCCACTCTGGGTCACACACCGTTACTATGGTTTGGGGGCTTCACCCTGGAAATTATGCATCACCTCAAGAGGCTTGAGCCTCCAGATACCTGATTTGGAAGGCTGCCTCAGATACGACTGAGGGATGAAAGCCTGAATCAAGTCGTTCACTGTCTCCTACTTCATGATCTGTTTTAATATCACTGAAACTCAGAATGCCGCTGTTCCTCCTACGCTGTAATTGCTTTCAGAACCTGGGCCTCCTAGAAACACAACACTCTGCCAACCAAAAGAATTCTGTGTCTTCCCTCTAGCTCTGATGTACGACAGTGAGGTCTTGGGGGCACTTTCATTTTGGAAGGGAGAGACTTGCCCAAGACCAGCCTCCTTCACTCCAGGCACCTGCTGGGATATTTTGAGCCCAGAGACAGGCAGCTAGCTCATCCTTGTCCGTGGGGCACCGAGTTCTGCCCGGGGCAGGGACAGAAAGTAGACACAATGAGCACAGACTGTGTACCAGGCCCAGCAAAGGTGCTTTTAACACATTAGTTCACAGCCACCTGGGATGTCAGAAGCCCTACTTACCAGAGGAGAAAACAACTCCCCCCACCCCTGCAAGGGACTCCCACCTGACTATATGCCCCGTGACTCCCAAATAACCCCTTAGGTATCCCCCAAGGAACCCCCTTACTGCCAAGAAACTCCAACAGCCCCGAGCTTGCCCCTCGATCTATTTGCTGGTTGAGTCATTCATTTAGAATGACTAGTCTCAAGCTCATTCCAACGTGCGCCTGTTACCGACGACAGACCAAAGCTTCCTCCACTCCTCCGGCCTCAGTTTCCCTACCTGCAACGCCGAGGTCCTACCAGGTTTAAGTATAAATCTTACCGCAGGATCTACACGCGCGACTGCAGCGGTTTTGGAGCCGCTTGGCGGGTGTTTAAAAACTGCACCCCCCAAGTGGAGGGCGTGTGTGAGATGTGACCGAGCATAGAGCTCGTGCGACCCCACCCCCACCCCCACCCCACGCTGTTCCAGCGCGGACAGACCCTAGCTCGTCCAATGGAACCGTGCCCGCAGTTCCCGCGGATCCGGGTAGGTGGCGCTGTCGGCACGCGCGGCGGCTGGGGAGCCAGGGGGCGGGGCCTCCCAGCCCCTCCTTCCTGCCCCGCGGATGACCACGCCCACAGTGGGCGGGCCCAGCCGACTTCCGCGTTCTGGCTTGGGGAGTCCTGCGAAAGTCCTGTCACTTTTACTGTCGCCGCTGCAGCGCCATCAGCACCTGACAGTTCCTGGATGCAAGTCCAGTGTCCTGGCTCTTCCAGTCGGCCTCTCGGAAGTCCCAGTGTCCCCACGTGTACGAGACAGGAGCGTCTCTGCTCTTCAGGATTATGTAAAGTACTGTGTGGAAATGCCCGACACAAAAACAAACCAACAGCAAACCAATAACATAGGGCTGGAGGAGATGGCTGCTCTTCCAGAAGACCCAGGTTCCATTCCCAGGACCCACACTGAGGGTGACAACCGGCTGTAGCTCCAGTTCCATGGCGTAGACGCCCTTTTCTGATCCCTGTGGCACTGCCATGCACGTGGTGCACACACGTACAGGCAGGCAAAATACTCATGTAGTAAAATAATTTATTCTTTTTTTTTTTTTTTTTTTTTTTTTTTGGTTTTTCGAGACAGGGTTTCTCTGTGTAGCTTTGCGCCTTTCCTGAAACTCACTTGGTAGCCCAGGCTGGCCTCGAACTCACAGAGATCCGCCTGGCTCTGCCTCCCGAGTGCTGGGATTAAAGGCGTGCGCCACCACCGCCCAGTATAATTTATTCTTAATTTAATAAAATGCCCGATGCACAGGACATGGTCGACAATCACCTTTGCTGATATTTTTTATTTATTGTGATTCTGCCACCTGGCCAGAGCTCCTAAAGGGACATCCCAGCCCCCACTTATTTTTTTTTTATTTTATTTTACTTCTATTTTATGTGCATTGGTGTTTTGCCTGCAGGTATGTCTGTGTGAGAGTGTCAGATCTTGGAGTTACAGACAGTTGTGAGCCACTATGTGGCTGCTGGGACTTGAACCCAGGTCCTCTTGAAGAGCAGTCAGTGTCCTTAACCGCTGCGCCATCTCTCCAGCTCCGCCACTTCTCGTTCTTAACCCCACAGCAGAGCCTATGCCAACATATCGATAAAGAACAGCTCAGGAGCCAGGTGTAGGGGTGTATATCTGTAACCCAGCACTTGAGAGGGTCCGCAGTTCTGTTAGTCTGCAATGGACACCTAAGCCCTAAGACCAGCCTCTGGCTTGTCCTAGCTATGAAGTCACATCGGTCCTCTGTGGCCTGGGATGGGACCACACATGCAGGGACTCAGTGCAGCCTTGAGCTCTGGAGGAGGCTGACAGTCGTGGCTCCTTGGTGACTAACCATAGCTCATTCCTTGGTCTGAGATGATTGCCTGGAAGGCTCTGCTGTGTGATTAAGCCCGAGAAGTGTTGGGGCTGGAGAGATGGCTCTTGTTTACTGAGCACCTACTCTGTGCGGGACCCTGGCAGGCTCAGAGAATCCTGCAACAAGGCACACAGGCGCCCGTCCCCGGGCACAGAGCAGAGGAGGAGAGTCATGAAACTAGACAGTGAGTGGCAGACAGGGCCGTGTCATGGGATATCTGTGGAGTTCTGATTTAAACTGGGGGTTGGATGAGCTCTCTGGAGAGGTAGCACTAAAACTGAAACCTGAGCGGGCTCTGGAGAGAGGCTGGTCATAGCTAGTGTAGAGGCCACGGAGTAGGGGAGGACAGGAGCATTCTGTCTTTCCTGGTCAGGCAAGTTCTGCCACTGAGCCATGCCCCAGACAGGAGTTGGGATGTCTTAGGGACAAAGAGAGGCCCAGGTAGCCAGAGGCAGACGGTCTAGGAAAGATGTTCCTCCTGTAGGTGCTGAGTTTAGCCAGGAGGGTTTGGGTTCCGTCCTCAGAACAGGGAACTGTCTTATCACTCCTGAGAAGACGATTGACAAGTTTACACTGTAAGCAGCTGTTCAGCAGGTGCTCAAGGAGGCCCCTGTTATGGACTCCAGAAAACAGCTGTGCCCTGCCCTGTCGTAATAAACCCCTGGCTCTTTCCTGATGGCACAGACACAGGCACCTGCATCCCCTGCCTTTGTGGGCAGACCTGGTAGGGTGGTGGTGGTGTCTTCTAAGTCATGGTCCCGGGGCTGGGACTATAGCCCAGTTGGTAGAGCATTCAGCAAAGGCAGGTAAAACCCCAGCATCACATAAACTGCATGTGATGCCTGGCACATACCTATCCTAGCCTCGGGAGGTGGTAGCAGGAAGATCAGAAGTTCAAGGTCACCCTCAGCTACATAACAAATTCAAAGCAAGCCCGGAATACTTGCGACTTCGTCTCCAAAAAAAGCCATCATAGTTCTTGCTCCAGACAGGCTATCCACATCTCACAGACCTTCATCCACACCAGCAGCCATCCAGGGTCCCCTGTTAAGAAACCCTAATGTCCTCTCCCTCCCAATTCGATCTCTGAAGTGCCCCTGGCCAGCTGTGGCTAAGCCACACCCACAGGCTTCCAGGCCAGCTGCCCGGGGGGAATGGCATCACACCCAGCGGCTAAGCACTTTGAGTGGCTGTGCCCATGGTAACGGTCATCTGAGGAGACGGGCTTCCTCCCCACCTGGCCTCAGGTTTCTGCCCTAGGGAGAATTCCAGAAGGGCCTGATTGAAGCTGGGTCTTTGGCAGGGTGGAGTCTTGGGCTCTGGGAAGAAAGCCAGCTCTTTTCAAGACCAAGGTATACAAACCAACTCATCATCCCCAGCCTCCCTGGACCCTATGTCTCCATGGCTTCTGGGAAGAGATGGGGGTGTGACTTCATGGGGAGCTCATCTGACCCTGGTCTGGGCTGTGTGGCTCTGGGTAGATGTTATTGTCTCTCTGGGTATATGCTTCCTCTCCTGTATCCATGAGGAGTTCAAGGAGACAAAGGTCTACACAGTACTTGGCACACAGCAAGAGCTTCATAAATGCACAGTTCCCAGTCCTAGTGTGTAGGAGTGTATGTGTGTGCATGTGTAAATATATATGCCATATTTATATTGCTGAAAGGAAATAATTTATAACAACATTTAAAGATTAAGCCAAGCT